TGATCCGGCTGTAGCTTAGATTTGACTATCATGTCATCAATGTACGCATCTACGTTCTTCCCAATTTGATTAATGAAGAATGTATTAATCATTTGTTAGAAAGTAGCAGGCGCATTCTTCAGCCTAAACGGGCACCACCGTATAACAGAATAACCCTTGATCAGTGACGAATGTCGTCTTCTCTTGATCTTTTTTCCACAAGGGTATCTGATGAAAGCGTGAGTAGGCGTCCATGAAACTCATCACGGCGTGACCAGCTGTAGAGTCGACCAGACTATCGATCTTTGGGAGTGGATAGCTATCCTTTGGACATGCCTTGTTGAGATCTGTGTAATCAACACACATGCGCCAGGTACCATTCGGCTTTTTCACGAGAACAACGTTTGCTACCCAATCCGGATAGTAACATTGCCAAATGAACCCGGCGTCCATCAGTTTCTTGACCTCGGCGGCAGCTGCCTAAGATCTCTCCTCGCCATGATTTCTTTTCTTATGCCTAACCGGCTTCTTTTTTGGATCCATGGCGAGTTTGTGGACAGCAAGATCCGGGCTGACGCTTGGCATCTCTTCCACTTTAAAGGCAAAGATGTCTTTGAATTCTTTCAGTAGTTTGTGCAAGTCGGCACCTAACTTTGCAAAGGCAGCCGTCCCCACCTTAACAATTCGCTCTGGACGTGCATCGTCTAGAGGGATGTCAATATGCTCACCAGCCGAATGGGGACGGAGGTCGTCTGACCACTCCCCGATTAGTGATTGCTATTGCTTTTATTTCTTGACGGCCACCAACTGGTCCGCCTTCCTCTTTTTGCCGGTTGCTTTAGGGGCAGGCGCGACTTCCTTGATGTCATCAAGGTCAATGGGTTCTTCACCGTGGCTGGCTGCGACCACAGTAGGCTTGACGTCTGAGATATAACACTCCCTTGCATCTTTTGATCCCCATTCAGGGAACCCACTGACCCATCATCCCTCTCAAATTTTAGCAGCATAAGGGATGGGATGATGACTGCCTTGGACTCGTTGAGGGTTGGACGACCCAAAATCAGATTGTAGGCGGTTAATTCTTTAACCACCAAGAATTTGACGACCATGTGCAGTCCTTCCCCCTTTTCTCCTAGCCGGATGGGTAGGTCAATCCTCCCCACCGGATGCACTACTCCACCCCCAAAACCAACTGAGGGGTGAGAGACTTTGTGCATGTTTCTAGGCTTGTACTTGAGCTTCGCGAAATACCTGTAGCTGATAAGGTCAGACGAGCTCCCGGTATCGATAAGGATCCGACCCACCCGTTGATTGGCGACCTTGCACTCGATGACTATGGGGTCATCATGTGGCCGCCTGACCTTGCCATGGTCCTTCCTAGAGATGATGACCTCAGGGAAGGTGTCTTTCGATGCCTGGCCCTCATCCACTGAGTTGACCTCCAACCTTCTGATGTAGTCCTTGGTGCCCCGGGTGGTAGGACCCCCTCCGGTAAAACCGCTTGCTATAGTATAGATCTGGTCTTCATCAGTGTCAGAGCTAATAGCAAGTTGGTCTGACTTTTTGGACGGTTGTGCATTGTTTGTTTTGAGGGTCACCTTGGACTTCAGAAGATAGGACTTCAGTACCCCCTTGTCAGCTAGACGGTCCAACGACCGCCTGAGGCTATAGCAATCGTTGGTGTCATGGCCTATATCCTCATGGACGTGTCAATATTTGTCCGGGCCCGACTTTTGACAGGACTTTTCATTACAGTCGGTTTCTCAATAGTCACCCGGTCTTTGATCTCCATGAGGATGGAGTAACAGTCCTTGTTGAACTCGTACTTGGGAACGTACGGTTTCAACTCTTTTTTCTTCTTTTGGGATGGCTGACTAGAATTGTCCGCCATCTAGACCTCTTTCCTTTTCTTGCTTTCTTCTTTTTTAGCCGGCTGAGCTGACTGGCTTTTTTTTTTGTCGGACTTTTTAGAGTCCGACGGCTGCTTGATGGAATAGAACTCCGTCACCTGTATATATAGGCTTCGGCTTCCATGAATGCTTCTTGGAGGGTAGCAACCCTCTTTCTGACCAGGTCGAACTTAAAGGTCGACCCGTCCTTCAGACCCTTGAAGAAGTTTATGTAGGCAACTTTGTCAGACAGCCCTTGAATCTGAATTCTCATCAGATTGAACCGCCTGACATAGGACCTTAGCCCCTCTCTATCTTCCTGCTGGATAGCTCCCAAGTCGAGACTTGTCTTTTTGGCGGGGATATTCATAGAGAAGTTGGACGCGAACAAGTATGCAAGCATCTTGAAATTGTTGATGCACCCGGCTAGGAGATTGCCAAATGATCGTTGGGCTATACCCTTCAATGTCGCCGGAAAGCATCGGCACCAGGCGGCATCATCCAACCCTTGTAAATACATGAGGTTGGTGTATGCCATTAGGTGGTCTTTCGGGTTGGTGGTACCGTCATAGGTACCAACCAACAAATTCTTAACCTTGGTTGTCTGAGCCGCCTCGGTTATCTCCCTGGAGAACGCAGACGGCTGTTCCCCAAGGTTTAGCAGCCGGAGCTGCCAGTTCATTGGCTGGACATTCAGTGCCGCCTGTCCCCTGAAGAAGGTCGGCTGCATGTAAGGTGATCCATATGGCATGTATGGCTGTCGGGGCACATACGGAGCCGGCTGGATAATCTGAGGGCCAGTTCGTGCGGTCATGCCACATGACTGACTCTCTCGGTTTATTTTTGAATACCTTATTGAAGCATTCGGGAAACTGTCTGGGTAAGTCGACGTTGAAGCCGACTCAGACAATTGTTGGCTTCTCTTCTGCTGGATTAACATCCGGGCATCTGTGTAAGTTTTCTTTGATCCATTCGACTGAACTTGCTGAATGGCTTTCCTTTTCCCTGCTTCAGGGAAACGGGGTTTTGATAAATCAATCACGGGCCCATCCGTCCCCTTTGGTTTAAGGTGAGGAGTAGGCACACGATCTTTCACATGCTTTTTCCCTAATGGAGAAGGATTATTGGCCGACTGACCCTTGTTAGTGCCAGTCATACTCTTGTTTATCAGGTTCTTGATTTCCCCTTTGAAACTTGCCATGAATTTCATGAGTTCGTCTCTAGTAACAGGGGAAACACCCTCCACCGCCTGGGGTTGCCCAGCCGTCTTGACGGTTGGGCTGCTAGGACCAACTTTGTCTTCGCCCCGTTCCCTTGTTTCCTTGGAACGGGTGTGTCTTGTTCTGAGTGACCCGTCTGGGGCCACATAGGTGTCGACATCGAAGTCGTCACCACTCACTACTAGAAATAGGTTAAATTCCGACGGACTACAATCCCCTCGGTAATTTTAAACTTTCCGGGGGAATTTGGTTTTGTAGGAAAAATCCGTCGGAACCGGGACTTTCCGACTGAAAAGTCCGTAGGTATACTTCCAACGGATTTTAATTCCGAGGGAATTAATTCCGTCGGAAGCGTACGACAAATTAAAAAAAAAAAGATTTCAGTTTTCTGCGTTTTTTGTGACATAAAACAGCACCAAAGAATAAGAGAGAGAAAGGGAGAAAGAGGAAGAGAGAGAAAGGGAGAAAGAGAGAAGGAGAAAGGGAGAAGGAGACCTCGCCTCCGGCTCCAACACCAGCCGCCCTTGGTCGCTGCCGGTGTAGGTAAGTCTGCGGATTTATTTTATTTTATTTTATAAAAAAAATTGCGGAAACCCTAACCACCACCACCACCACCTAGGGTTTGCCGGAAATCACTATAGCAGCGCCGAATTCCACCACAAACACCAAGGCTTGACCGGAATCCACCCAAAGCGCCGCCGTGGTAAGTGTTTAGCCCTTTTTTTTTTTAAATTCACTGTTTTGGGGTTTTTGGTGATGTTTTTTTTTTTTTTTTTTTTTTTTTTTGTTTTGGAATGCCTAATTACAGCCACCACCCCCTCAACCACGACACCAGCCCGCCGCCGGTCTGCAACCAGAGCAACGCCCAACCACCGTCGACAGCAGGTTGTGTTTCAAATTTTTTTTTTTTTGGTATTTTTCATTATAACTTTATAGCATTTATTCGTTTTTTAATATACATAGGCAGCACAAACTTAGTTGCTAATTGTTTAATTTGAATTTTTTTGTAGGATTTGTAGATTTTCTTGGTTCTTTGGCAATAATTAGTGCAGATCTACAGGTTAGAGACTATATAAAACCAAAAATTATATGTTTATTTTATACTTGGCATGTTAGTCGATAAATGTATTTAGATATATGTTAGTTTATTATTGTTTTTTGTGTAGTGTATACAATCAGTTCTATTTATATTTTAATATGTTGAAATATTTGAAATGAATGTATTTATGTTATTATATGTTAGTTTAGTTTAGTTTATTTAAGTATAGTTTTTAATTTTTGTATTATAACATGTTAACATAGTTTTGTTTAGTTCATTATGATAATGTATGTTAGTTTAGTTTATTTTATTTTAGTTTTGTTTATTTCACCATTAGTTTAGTTTAATGTAGTGTTTGTTAGTGTATTTAGTTTAATATTTTTGTTTGATATAATGTTGAATATAATATTTAGTAATTGTGCTAATATATTTGCTTAGTTTAGTTTAATTATGATAAATCTCTATTTAGTATAACGCATGTGACCTTCACTTTATATATATATAATAAATGAATCATTTGCATAATCATTTGCCTAGATACCCGTTCAAGGCATACACAATAGGAGTATGTCTTAAATAGTCCCCGGTTGGGACTGTCCTTGTACACTTATTCTCACTTAGGTGGTGAATGTAAGACTTGTTTTTGATTCTACGAAAAATCGTGTCTTTTCATTTCTCTACAGTGTTCTCTGGGTACATATGTAGGTGTGTTTAATTGCCTACATCGTGTACTTGGAGAACTGTAGGGAAATGCTTGCGGATTTTCCGTAGAATTGAAAACCTGGCTTACATTCACTAGTGGGATTAAACGTACAAGGATGTATGTAGTACGCTTTGTGACTAATATGCCTGAGTTGTGTAGAAGTTGTAATCATGAAACGAACAGAACGTAGCTGGATGTATGAAAGGAAGGCCGGGCCATATGTTAATCCAGAGTTCGTGAAAGGGGTTGATAAATTCATGCAATATGTCAAAGATAATCCTAAAAGTAGTAACCCGAATGAAGTTAGGTGTCCATGTGCCAAATGTAAGAACAAACGACTTTGGGACCTAGATACGGTTAAACTTCATTTGTTTCAGGCGGGTTTTGTACCTAATTACTATGAGTGGATGTGTCACAGGGAAGGGTTTCCGACAGTTCCTGTAAGTGGGTCCAACGAATATCGTGAAATGGTTTTCAATGCGTTTGGTCAAAGTCAGGATCATGGGCATTCCGAGCAGGCTAGTGTTTCATTAGAGGAGGAGCCTAATGCCCAAGCTAAGCATTTTCTGGATTTGTTGAAGGCTTTTGAAAGGCCATTATACGAAGGTAGTTCGTTGTCTGTGTTGGAGATGGCCGCTAGAATCACAAGTCTAAAGTGCGAGTATAATCTTCCGCACAGATGTGTCGATGGGTTTGTTTCACTTCTCAGTGAAGCAATTCCTAACAACAATAAAATGGTCGACACATTCTATGAGGTGAAAAAGATTGTGAAGGGCTTGGAAATGCCTCATGAAAGGATTCACGCTTGTCCGAAGGGATGTATGTTGTTTTGGAAGGATGATGCCCAGCTGTCTACATGTAGGGCGTGTGGCAGCGATCGATACAAGCAGACTTTCAAGGGTAGCCTAGTGCCTTTGAACGTTTTATTTTATTTCCCGATCACACCCAAGTTGCAAAGGTTGTTTACAACCAAGACTATTTCGAAGGAAATGACTTGGCATTCGAAAAATCCTCGAGTGCAAGGCACTATGGCACACCCTACTAATAGTGAAGCTTGGAAACACCTGGACAACTGCTTTCCAGAGTTTGCCTCCGAGCCTCGTAATGTTCGGCTTGGTTTGTGTAAAGATGGTTTGCTCCTCATGGCAAGTTTGGGGGACAATATTCTTGTTGGCCTGTCATTTTGACCCCTTACAATCTGCCTCCCTCAGTGTGTATGAAAAGACAATTTATGTTCCTTTCGTTGCTCGTTCCTGGTCCTAAAAAACCTAAGGGCAACTTGGATGTGTACATGCAACCGTTGATTGAGGAGTTGAAACAGTTGTGGGAAGTTGGTGCACATACGTACGATATTTCCATGAAACAGAATTTCAATCTTCGAGCAGCCATCCTATGGACCGTTAGTGACTTCCCGGCTTACGGTATATTGTCCGGTTGGGCCACATCTGGTAAGAAAGCTTGTCCATATTGCATGGACAAAAGCAAAGCATTTTGGCTAGAAAATGGTTGTAAGGTGTCTTGGTTTGATTGCTACCGCCAGTTCCTTTCGACGAATCACCCTTTTCGGAATAGTAGAATTGCGTTCTGCAGAAACAAAGTCGAAAAGGGTGCCCCTCCACACATTATGTCAGGAGAGGAGCTGTGGGAATGTGTGAAAGACCTTCCGAAGGCTACAGATGGGCCCAAGTCACTTCAACGCCTCAAAAAGAAAAGAAGGGGTTGTTCAAGCAAAGCATACTGTGGGAGCTTCCATATTTGAAGCATCTGCTTGTTCGTCACAACCTAGATGTCATGCACATTGAAAAGAACTTCTTTGATCAGTTATTTCACACTATAATGGCTGTGAAAAAGCAGACGTGTGACACGCCATCTGCTCGAAATGACATTGCCAAATATTGTAAACGTCCGCAGCTTCATCTTCAGCAGGATGATAGGGGAAAAGAGTTCATGCCATGGCTCCATTTGCTCTTGACAAGGCTCAAAGAAAAGTTTTGTGTGAGTGGGTTAAACAGCTGCGGTTTCCTGATGGTTACGCCTCCAATTTAAGCAGATGCGTCGATTTGCAAGCATGTAAGCTCCACGGAAGAAAAGCCATGACTGTCACGTGTTCATGGAGAGGTTGTTGCCTACTACTCTGCGGGAATTGCTCCCTTTCCATGTTTGGAATGCAATAACAGAGATCATCCAATTCTTTCGCGATTTGTGTTGTTATACAATAACGGTTAGTGACATGGAGCGATTAGAGAATAAAATAGCTGAGATACTTTGCAAGCTTGAGAAGGTTTTTCCCCCTGCATTCTTTAACTCCATGGAGAATTTACCCATTCATTTGCCATATGAAGGGAAGTTATGTGGTCCTGTGCAATATAGATGGATGTATCCGTTTGAAAGGTAAATCAAAGACCCATGCACATCCTATTTCTTACATCAAATTCAATGTAATGTCGTGTTTATATATTTACATAAATATGATTACAGGTTCCTCAACCATTTGAAACAAAAAATTGGAAATAAGGCTCGAGTTGAAGGATCCATTTGCAATGCTTATCTCACCGAAGAGATAGCAAACTTCTGCGGTAACTACTTCCAGGCGACGGTTGACACTAAAACACGAGATCTCGGTCGAAATGTGAATGCCGACGTGGACTCCACAGTGGACGACGCTAAAATTCCAGAGTTGTTCAAGGAGGATAGCGGTCGTTTGTCAACTGAGGGCAAAACTCGGTTTTTGGATGAAAAAGAACTGGATTGTGCTCATCTGTTCGTGTTACGAAACACCAGCATTCTTGGTGAATACGAAAGGTATAACATAGTTTAGTAATGAAGTGTAGTTGGATGATATGATTATCTGGAATGATTACAATGTTTATTTACATTAATTTTGGCCTCGTAGGAAGTTTGAGGACTATGTCCTTAGTACTCGACCTTATCTGCGTAGAGAAGAAGTAATGGAGAAAAATGCGAAGCTGGATTTTCCTGATTGGTTTCATCGCAAGGTGATGTCCACTGTCTAAACGTAGGATAATTATGATTAACTATTCGTTGCTATTTAATTTACTCATTTAGGGAAGTGTGACGGTTATATTTAAAACGTTTATAGGTTATTGAGGAGGAACAAAACTCGAATGTGCTGCGAGCGTTGTGCATGCGCCCTTTCAAGCGTGTTCGAACTTGGAAGCAGATTTTTTTCGGTGGCTTTAATTTCCATACATATGCCCATGTCAAGCACAAATCTACGATGAATTATGGGGTGTGTGTATCAAGTGAGGATGGTGGAGAGTACTACGGCATTTTAGACGACATTATAGAACTAGTCTACACTAGTCCCGAAAAAGAGTACAAGACTATTTTGTTTAAGTGTAGTTGGATGGATTGTGGTAGGGGAATGAACATACATGAACAATACAAGCTTGTCGAAGTGAATCATACTAAGAAATACCCCAAGTACGATCCCTTTGTTTTGTCTTACCAAGTGACTTAAGTGTACTACGCATCATACCCAAGCCTGAAACGGGATCGAATACAATGGTGGGCTGTTTTTAAAACAAAAGCAAGATCAGTGGTTGATGCTCCGGTGGACTTAGAGTTCTTGCAGGCACCATCCCCACAATTACATGCAACACTTTTCCCACCGAATGATATTCCAGACTATATCCAAGATGATGATGATGAGGAAGATGATGATGGCTTTGTTATCTCGAGCGATGAAGATGATGAATCTAGCATCAACTCCAGTGATAGTGACGAGGATGATGATATCGATGTATTATTAGATGATAGTAGCGATGATTCCAGTAGTGATAGTAGTAGTGATGACATTAATGAATAGGGGAATTTGTTACTCTCCTTCTTTGAATTTGCTTATTATTGTAAAATAGACAAATGAATTGGTCTTTTAATAAATCGATCATTACTTTTATGCTGAAATGTTATTGCATTGCCCGAGTCCCTTGTAACTTATAATATGCTGTAATGTTATTATCAATAATTGCAGGTGATCATGGCGGGCGGTAAAGACACAGGTAAACGGAGAATGCAGATCGACGATTCCAATGATGACATGGAGGATGCTTATAATTTGGATAATACTCAGGAGCCGACTTAGCTTCCAGCTCATCACGAGGTCAGACTCAGGAGTGTTCACAGTTGTCGGTATTAGACCCTGTTGTGCTCTAGTACGTACATACATTTTGTGCATTGGGATTTGAATATTTTTAAAGAAAAAAACCTATTTATTACCTGTAACAAGTTTTTCAATACTTGTAGTTCATGATCATCTAACTTTGTGGTTTCCTCATTGCATGTAGGTTTGACAACAACAAGGTCAGGAATGTGGTATCCGGGGCGATAACCGGGTACTATCGACAGCCTTGGAGGAATTACAGCAAGGTGGATGCAGCAACCAAGGAACATTGGTGGAACCTATTCTACGTAAGCTATTATAAACTTAATTGAAAACATGTTTTTTTTAAAAATGTTGAGCTGAATTTGGAAATATGACATAACGTTTATCAATTGCAGAAGGCATTCACGTGGGCACCTCAGTTGACCGAGGATGTGAAGCACACGTTTGAAAAGAGGCTTGCTACTCGGTTGCGTGACATGTTCTACACAGTCACGCACAAGATGAGAGGCGCAAGGCCAGCCTGGCTCATTGAGGACATCCACAAGAAGATGATGGATATTGTTGCCGCCGATCCAACTTTCAAGGCAAGGTCGTCCCAAAACAAGAAGAACAGGAGGGGTGGGTCAATGGAAAGTCCGGTTGAAGCTACCCACTATCAGGGTTCGATGTCAGTTGTACAACATGCTAAACGAATGGTAAGTTTGTTGAATATTCCTTTTAAATTGGAGGGTCGGGTTTATTCTTTTGTACAGGTGCTCTAACATTTAAAGTTTATCATTTTCTGCATGTATAATCAAAGGCGATGAAGAATAAAGGGCAGCTCCCAACAGCTCATGATCTGTTTATGAAGACGCACTTCAAGGAAGTGCCAGGGAAAGGCATGGTACCAGCCAACACCAAAGCACAGCATATTGCGGTATTAACTTCAATAACACCTACAACTGTTATATGCATGTTATAAGAAAAAACTTAGAAAATAGGTTGTTTTTGTGATTTGAACGCATGTGCACCTAAAATTACCTATAATATGCATTTTATGAGAAAGAAATGGTTCATTAGGTGAGAACTTTAGAAAATAGGCAAGGGAATGGTCATTTAGGGGTCAATTGGTTGAATTTTGGACTTTTAGGGTCCGTAAACTTAGAGACTTGGTTGTATTTGTGATTTCAAGGTATGTGCACCTAAAACTACATATAATATGCATGTTATGACAAAGAAATGGTTCATTTGATGAGAAATGTAGAAAATAGGCAAGTGATAGGTGATTTAGGGGTCTATTGGTTGGATTTTGGTCTAATTCGCTCCCAAACCTTAGAGACTTGGTTGTATTTGTGATTTCAAGGCATTTTCACCTAAAACTACATATAATATGCATGTTATGACAAAAAAATGGTTCATTTGGTGAGAAATGTAGAAATATAGGCAAGTGATAGGTGATTTAGGGGTTTATTGGTTAGATTTTGGTCTAATTCGCTCCCAAACCTTAGAGACTTGGTTTTTTTTTTTTGTGATTTCAAGGCATATACGTCTAAAACTACCTATAATAGACATGTTATGACAAATAAATGGTTCATTTGGTTAGAAATGTAGAAAATAGGCAAAGTATAGGTCATATAAGGGTCTATTGGTTAGATTTTGGTCTAATTCGCTCCCAAACCTTAGAGACTTGGTTTTTTTTTTGTGATTTCAAGGCATTTACGTCTAAAACTACCTATAATAGACATTTTTATGACAAAGAAATGGTTCATTTGGTTAGAAATGTAGAAAATAGGCAAAGTATAGGTCATATAGGGGTCTATTGGTTCTAGTTTTTGGTCCAATTCGCTCCCAAACCTTAGAGACTTGGTTTTTTATGCGATTTCATTTCATATACAACCCCAAATACCTATAATAGACATGTTATGACAAAATAATGGATCATTTAGTTAGAAATGTAGAAAATAGGCAAAGGATAGGTCATACAAGCCTCAATAGGTTGAATTTTGGTCGTATTCGCTCCCAAACCTTAGAGACTTGGCTTTTTTTTGTGATTTCAAGGAATATACGTCTAAAACTACCTATAATAGACATGTTATGACAAAGAAATGGTTCATTTGGTTAGAAATGTAGAAAATAGGCAAAGTATAGGTCATATAGGTGTTTATTGGTTCTAGTTTTGGTCCAATTTGCTCCCAAACCTTAGAGACTTGGTTTTTTTTTTGCGATTTCAAGGCATATACAACCCCAAATACCTATAATAGACATTTTATGACAAAGAAATGGATCATTTAGTTAGAAATGTAGAAAATAGGCAAAGGATAGGTCATATAGGCCTCAATTGGTTGAATTTTGGTCGTATTCGCTCCCAAACCTTAGAGACTTGGTTTTTTTTTGTGATTTCAAGGCATATACGTCTAAAACTACCTATAATAGACATTTTATGACAAAGAAATGGGTCATTTGGTTAGAAATGTAGAAAATAGGCAAAGGATAGGTCATTTAGGGGTCTATTGGTTCTAGTTGGGTTAAAATTGTCCCTAAAACTTAGGATGTCGGTTTTTTTTGTGATTTCACGGCATATACATCTAAAACTATCTATAATAAACATGGTATGACAAAGAAAAGATTCATTTGTTAAGAAATGTAGAAAATAG